GCGAAGTGCGTGTTCGCATTCCTCGGTCCATTCGAAGGCTGCTTCCTTTCGAAGGAGTTTGAAAAAAGGAAGGGCGTGCTGAGCGGACTTCGCGACGAAGCGTGAAAGTGATGTCAACATGCCGTTCATTATCTGTATCGACTTCTTCGACGTTGGAGTCGGGAGGTCGGCGAATGCTCGGCACTTGTCGGGGTTGGCTTCAATGCCTCGTTCTGTTAGGTAGAATCCGAGGAACTTTCCTGCCTTAACCCCAAATGTGCACTTCTCCGGGTTGAACCTCATTTTGCATTGTCTTGCTTGGGCGAAGACAGTCTTGAGGTGAGCTGCGTGATCGGTGTCTGCTCGAGATTTGACGATCATGTCGTCCATGTACACCTCGAGCATGTCGCCGATCTGTTTGTTGAACACTTTGTTCATCATGCGTTGGTACGTCGCGCCGGCGTTCTTTAGTCCGAAGGGCATTACGTTGTAGTAATAGTTGCCCGAGCTGGTCATGAACGCCGTGCAGCGTTTGTCGCCCGGAGCCATTGGGATTTGATTGTATCCCGAGTAAGCGTCCATGAACGACAAAGTTTTGTAGCCGGCCGAGTTGTCGACCAGTATATCAATGTTTGGTAGAGGAAAAGCATCCTTCGGGCAAGCCCGATTGAGATCGGTATAATCAACACACATTCGCCATTTTCCATTATTCTTTTTAACAAGTACAACATTTGACAGCCAGGTGGAGTACCGAGCTTCAGAAATAAAATTTGCCTCTAGGAGGTCTTTTACAGCTTTTTCAGCAGCCTCCGTTTTTTCTGGAGACTGCCTACGCCTACGTTGTACTACTGCCTTGGCGGCTGGATCAATGGCGAGGTGATGACAGGCGACCTCAGGGTCGAGTCCGGGCATCTCTGCAGCGCTCCAGGCGAAGAGATCAGCATTCTCGCGCAGACAGGCCTTGATTTGCTTCCTGGCCAAGTCGGGGAGGTCCTTGCCAATCTTCACTCCCTTGGTCGGGTCTGCTCCGAGGGGAACGAGTTCGAAATCGCCGTCCGGAATAGGTCGGAGGGGGATTTGCTCGCTGCTGGCCGGCTCGTCTTGGTCAAAACGGGCGTCGAGCGCAATGGAGTCGACCTTTGGTGGAGCCTTCTGAACTTCTACCTCAGGAGATGCTCTGTCGGGCTCTTGCTTTGTCTTCTTGATGGGCCTAGTGCTGGGACCCACGTCGACAGTATCCCGACCCCTTGAAGCGGCGTTGAAGCACCTGCGGGCAGCAGCGAGGTCGCCCTGGATGGTGGCTACCCTTGCCCGTTTGGTGTAGAACTTCATTTTGAGATGGACAGTTGAGGGAACCGCTGTCAGCTCTGCCAATGTCGGCCTCCCCAAGATGCAATTGTACAGGGACGGGCAGTCAATGACGAGGAAGCGGACCTTCACCTGTCTTGTAGCAGTTCCTTCCCCGAACGTCACGAGGAGCTCGACATATCCCCAAGGTTTGGACGTCGAGCCGTTGAAGCCTTGAAGGTCCGAACCTATATATGGAGACAGATGTGAGTCGTCCAGTTGTAAGGTCCGGAACAGCTGAGTGTACATCACGTCGACGGAACTCCCTTCGTCGACCAGGATGCGATGCACGTCAAAATTGGCCATCTTTGCCCTTATCAGCAAGGGGATGACTGCGTTCGGTGCTCCGCCGGGGAGCTCTTCCAAGTAGAAGGTGATAGGCTCTGATCTGCCCCTCACCATTTCGAAAGTCACAGTTTGTGGAGGAGCTTTGTCGACCAGTTCGTCCAACTTCCTCTTGGCCGAGTTGATGGTGAGGTCGTTGAACCCGCCCCCGTTGATGACCATGGCGGAGGGGAAGTATTCCCACCTGCTGTGTGTAGTCAGGGGCTCCTGCAGGAGCTCGGGAAGTTCGAAATCCTCGGGCCTGGTTACCGAGAAGGCGGTCTGGATTGGCACCGACTCGTCAGATGGTCGGGCATCTTCTTCGGGCTCCTTTGCCTCGCGGGCTTCACGACGGGGAGCGTCGTTTCTCCTGTATTGTGCAAGTCTCCCTCCTTTGATGAGGGTTTCAATAGCATCCTTCAGGTGGACGCAGTCCTCTGTCAAGTGACCATGACTCCTATGGTACTGACAGTACTTGTTTTTGTCTACTCCTGGCTTGGCAGGAGCTGGTCGGGGACGCTTGACGCCACCGTCTTTAAAATCTGTGCTTGCACACTCCGCCAGAATACGCTCGCGGGAAGCCGTGAGCGGAGTGTACTCAGTAAACCGGCCAGAGGGGCCCCTTTGTTCCCGGACCTCCCGGGGTCTGTCTTCCTTCCTCTTCTCTCCGGTGCGTCGGGGAGGAGGGTCTTGTCTCGAGCTGCTGCCGTGGTTGCGAGCCCTGGAGTCTCGTGCCCTGTTGGCAGCTTCTCTCTCCTCGTAGTCCATATATGCTCGGGCTTTGTCGAGGAGAGCATCAAAAGTTGCAGGTGGCTCGATGCCCACAGCTTTCCTGAATTCTGTGCCGGGGAGGAGGCCCCTCTCCAGCAAGTACCTCTTCATATGGTCCGCGCAGGGGACCTGGATTGCTTCCCGGTTGAAGCGATTGATGAATTCCCTCAAGGTCTCATCATGTCTTTGGATGATGGCCTCGAGGGCTGCCTCGGTCTTCGGGTGGCGACGAGAGGCCGTGAAGGAACTGATGAACTGATTCTTCAAGTTCCGCCACGAGGTGATGGAGCCCGGGGCAAGTCCTTTGTACCAGTCCATGGCCGCCTTCCTGAGAGTTGTTGGGAAGAGACGGCATTTGATGGGCCCCCCGACATTGTGATAGTGGAGCATGGCTTCGAACCCGTCAATGTGGTCGACTGGGTCTGCCACTCCATCATACTCCTTTAGGTGTGGGGGCTTCTCCATGCCCGGGGGAATAGGTGCGTCCATGATGGCCTGCGACAAGGGACCGCGGGGGTCGTCCTCGTCGCTCCTTTCTGGAGAAAGAGAAGGGGTCCTGTAGTGGTGTCTGGCACGCTGGTCGTGCTGAGATTCCCTCGAGCGTGATGCTCGGTGATTGAAGGTCACACGCCCGTCTCTGTTATGCCTCCTGTCGTGCCTTGATGGGTCGCGACTGGGCTCTTCGGCAGGGATGACGGGCTGTCTTTCATACTGGGGCCGCCTCTGCCTTGGTGGGGGAGAGGGGCTCCTAGAGTTCTCCCTGTAATGTCTCCGCGGGGGAGTAGGGTGTCGAACTTCTTCGACCCGAGGAGGTGGAGATGGTGGCCTTTGATGTCTCCTCGGGGGGCGTCGATCATTTTCAAGTGCCCTTAGCCTTTCTCCTTGGGCGAACAGGAGATAGTTCGTCTGGTTGATGGCCGCGAACAGTGCCTGAGTCGTGGCATCTGCCCCGGCAGGGACTTGGACTTCATGGAACCGGGCAGCTTGGCGATAGGCGAGAGCCTCCGGGTCGTCTTCGAGTCTTGGAGGAGGTGTCGAGGACGACGCAGTGTTCCCGTCCCTGCGAGTGGAAGGTCCAGGGGCGGTTGTCACGGGGATGGTATTGTGGCCGGCATCACTGGGATTGTCCAGATGCCCATTCTTGTCCGCGAGACCGTTGTTGGTGTCGAGGACGCGGGTGTGTTCTTCACGAGTTGGGGTAGCCATGACAGTGAATGGATTGAGCTTTGGTCTTTGAAACTGTTCGTTAGACGGGGAAGCTGTTTCCCACAGACGGCGCCACTAATCTGACCTGATCAGAAGGTTTGGACCGTCACGGCTTACTCCGAGCTGAAGGCTTTTTGAACGAGGAGGGGGGGGTACCTGCAAGGCACTCCGATGCTAAAGTCAGTGGGAGTACTAGCAGATAATAGAGTTGAGGTTAGAATGATGAATACCTGACCCTCTGGAAGCAGAGGGTATTTATAGCCCCCAGCGCTGGGCCAAGGTTCCTTCATTGGGCCGGGCGGATTTGGCCCAATGGAGGAACTGCCAGGTTCTACGTGGGTAGTGGGGACCAGCACGTGGTCCCCTTCCTGGATATGCTGCATGAAGTGCGGGCGGACGGAGACGCGGTCTTTCCGGAGTATCGTTGGGGCAATGGAGGACTAAGTCTGCCCTAGCAAGTCAGCTCGAGACCATGTCGAGCTACGCGGCACGGTGCCGAGCTCGACGCCAAGACCTCGAGCTGGACAGCGAGTGTCGAGCTGGAAGCCAGGACGTAGAGCTGGACGGCAGGCTGTCGAGCATGACTTCATCGTGGGGCTGGACACCGAGATGTCGAGGTGGACATCAGGGTGTCGAGCATGGACGTGACCCCCTTTGCCCAGTGTGGTCCTTAGTGAGTCCCTTTGGACTGGGCCTTAGTAATGCTTTTGGGCCTGTCGGGCCCAGTCCAGAACACTTTCCCATGTGAATTTAAAAGTATATGCATTGTTTAGGATGCCAAAAAAATTAAACAAATATATTTATTAAAACCTTTTTTTAAAAGACATCACGATCCAACAGATTTAAAAATCACTGCCTCTTTAGAGCAGTGGAAAGCCAATAAGAAACAAGTAACAGTAAGCAATCAAAGTAGGGTTGTAAATGCCAAGAAAATGTGCCATTTCACAGCATATTCCATGTCCAGGTTAAATTATTATTTGAGACTAAAATGCACAAAAATGTAATGTAAGTGATGTGGCGGCAAATTGCAGCCTCTAAATATTTAATAATTTGAATAATAATAATAATAATAATAATAATAATAATAATAATAATAATAATAATAATAATAATAATAATAATAATAATAATAATAATAATAATAATAATAATAATAATAATAATAATAATAATAATAATAATAATAATAATAATAATAATAATAATAATAATAATAATAATAATAATAATAATAATAATAATAATAATAATAATAATAATAATAATAATAATAATAATAATAATAATAATAATAATAATAATAATAATAATAATAATAATAATAATAATAATAATAATAATAATAATAATAATATAATCCAATAAATTTGTAGCCAACTAAAGAAAGAAAAATGAAACTTATTAAGATAGCAAAAATGTGGATGAATGGAAAGAAAATGTCCCCTAGTGTAACAGATTACACCTCTATTTACATGATTGAAACTCATCACTCACCATGTTGTCACAGTATAGTACACAATCTCCTGAGCCTCATCATCTTCCTCCCTGTATGCCTTTTTTGGTTCTTGGGAATGAAGGGAACAACACAAGAGAATATATATCTCAAAAAACATCATATTCTCCATTTCTTGGATACAGTTACGTCGCCATCTGGTGTCGGTGCCATTGATTCATGACTGAAATTACTGATCACAACAATAACGGCTATTAATGGATTGTTCTCTTACAAAAGCTTGTTAACTTGGAAACTGCGGTAAAAGTAAAATCACATGCCATGTGTCTCAAATTGGAGACCATCATCTGATGGAAAATAATTTGCAGAACCGCTGTGCTCTGTTTGAACAAACGTTTGGAGATGTTGTCTGTTCGCGATATGAATTGTTTGGATGCAAAATTCTCCTTTTCCGTTTTGTTCGAAATAGAGAGTCTTCAGTATCTAACACGTATGAAACCTAGCAACATGCAATGTGTTTCAATGAGAAAACAAAGAATGGGAGAGCTCAGAAACACAATCCAAAGATGCAAGAAACTATAATCAAATGCATGGCATTAACAAAAAGGGCAAAACAGAAAATATTAAAATTCGGCATGTAAACTTATAAAATATGGAGAAGAAAATGATTAAATACCTTGGATGAATTGCAAGCAATCTTACACTCCAGACCATTGGTAACTTGTACGCCATCCATAATCTGGCTAGGAAATTCATCACTCCAAGCACATTTTAACTTATTCCTGCAAAAAATTAATAAACCAAAGTAAATGCAAAGGTTAATGAAGCATTTGCAAATGAAATGGTACCAATAACTCTCCCACTTACAAATACCTTTTTAAGAAAATTCCTGACTTCTCCTTGCTGTCGGGGACAACATATAGGAAGTCGTTGTGCAGATAGGCTGAAAAATTAGGATCTATTGACACAGCAGTCACTTCAGGCTTATCGTGTCCGTAATCCATCAACTGAATAGACAATCGGGGAGGTGTAGACGACTGCAAGGAGTATTTATATAAAACTGTGATACATCATATAAACTTAGTTTTTGACAGGCATATATATGTGAGAGTAATTCTTAAGCCAGGGGCGGTGGTTAGGTTAAAGTCTTTCTGAAGTAGTGGGTGGTGACTCCAGAATTCAAACCTTTGACATTGCAGGTAATGTTTGTCTGGAATATCAATCCACTTCCACTGCAACCATACACTATTATGTATATAAAGCTTTCCATTTAAAATTCCATTCAAATGCTCAACACAAAATTAAATAAAATCAAAAGCTGATCCAAGTAGTGAAGTGGAACAAAAAATCCTTACACATTCAATACGATATATGTTCTCATCATGAAGAAGAACACGAGCATTTTCATGATAAACTATATCCACAAAGCTTCCAGGTTTTCTTGATTGCTCATATGCATATAGTTGAAGAAGTTTGTTATCCATCTCATCAGTAGCACTGGCAACAGCTTGAAGCTGAAATAAAAGAGGACATAACTTCAGGCGCAGAAAGAATGGTACAAAAGACAAATGAAAAAAGGGAAAGTGAAACACAAGAGAAAAACTGAATCTCATAATTGAATGAAAAGATACAAGTGCTATTGTGATTCTATAAGCCAAGCATGATAAATCACAATAAATCAAGGCAGCAATGAAGACTGCCAAGTATGGCAAAGAAGGCTTCAAAGAAAGCAGTGTAAGATGACTGCAATGAAGGTGGCTAGGTTTTTGCTTGTTTTGGTGCTGGAGGAGCACCTCCCAGATCGGGAGCTCTAATACCAAGTTGAAAACAAGAGAAAAACTGAACCTCATTAATTGAATGAAAAAGTAAAAGCAGCAACGTGATTAAATAGACTAAGCCTAAAAAATCTTAAACAAAGAAAGCAGGAATAAAATCTACCCTAAGACTACTACCGATACTAAAATATATACATAGAGAATATTCTATCCAAAACAAGTGTCAATTCACACATTTTCAAAAAGGAAACCATGCACATTACCTGTTTAACAAGTTTATATATCAGCTTGTCTAATGTGAACAAGACATACGACTGAGTTCCAATAATAGCGCGACAGTCATCCTCAAATTTTGAATTATCAGAAGAACCATCCAGCAAACTGTAAAGAGAACTCATGAACCTGTAACATAAAGCCATAAAGGGCATCATCAGTCTTGTATAGATATTCAAATGTATATTTTAATTGGTAAAAAACAATAACATTCCAAGGCATATTACCTGCCATATTGATCAGTAGAACCTGTATCATTTGAACCTCTCCATTTCCTTTCAGCAGAGGATGAGTTTATCTTTGCTGACTGTATCCTCTCATACAATGTCTGCCAAATTAGCAAACAAAATGTAAGGTAAAGAGGAATATATTATTAGCTCTGAAACTTCTAGTCAGTCTGCAACCATAAATGAATATAATACATAAACTGACACATTTGTACCTGATGAAGTCTAAACAGCACATAAAAGGAATCATTTCCATAAAAAATTTGAACATTCTTTCCTTTCCTGTGCAACACCGGGCGAACATGTTTTACCAGAGGCTTTACTGTGAGAAGAAAGCGTTCGGAATATGGCAATGAGGCTCCATCTCCTTCAACATCATTGGCATCTGCCATTCCTTCAGCTTCACCTTCACTCTCAGCCTTATTATCATGTTCATGATCCCCATTCTCTTCATGTTCTTCTCGAGAACATTCCTCACCATCAGCAGACTCGGTACCAGAAACCTCACCATTCTCAGACGCATTTTCACTGTCATCCGATGATCTATGAGGACTTCCATCACTTTCATTGTCATTTTCACCACCAGCTTCACCACAATTTTGTTCCACGTGTCTATTTTGGTATTGTTGACTGGTATTACAATCTTTTCCTTTATGCACTGCCTCCAGACCAGCATTTGCATAAACTGCAAAGTTATCCTCTTCATAGTCTCCATTAGGAGATAACTCACCCTCTTCTCTTTCACTTTTGAAATGTCCAACTGATTCTTTGTGAGATCTGTGAACTTTGGTGTCTTTGGTGATGGCCCCATTTGTGGACATATCTAGTCTTGTAGAGTCAGCACCCTAAGTAATTATAAAAGAAATCACAGCATTATACCGGATGGGAAACAGCATAAGCCTGACAAGACACACAACGAAGGGGAAAGAGAAAAATGGAGCCTCAAACTGATATATTCAGTTTTAAGTTATTATCAGTCCTAACTCGGAAACGACATTAGCACCACAACAACAATCAAGTACTTTTCTAGTACGTGCGAATCACTTACATGGATCAACCGTTCATAGTAAAAGTGTAAATCCAGTAACATATCTCTTTGTATAGTTTGACCTATAGTTTTCATTGGTCTCCCTCTACCTCGAACAATATGACTATCCATAAATGACAAAAAAATTTTAACATTTTTCATTTACTCAAAATAAAATGGTGAATATATATTAAAGTATGAGTGTTATTGGCAACTTCAGCCACCAGGTGATCATTTTTAGGTTCTTTTGATCCGGTGGAGGCAAGCTCTCCTATCTAGTAAAGCCACCTTTGCTAGATCCAAAGGATGGCGCCAATGGAGATGAAAGATGTTTGCAAAAAAATTTCCCACTTGTACTACAATCCTGCTGAAATCATGGCTATTGACTTTTATAACAATGTATCTGATGGTATATCTTGAGTCTTCCATCATGAACCATTTCACTATATTATTCACCATAGACTCACCCCATATGATAATAGTGGGTTAAGATTAAACCTCTTCAGGTGAATACTTTCTCATACACTTAAATTTGAAAATAGACTAAAATAAGGTGATAAAGGAGTTAAGCCATACCTCTGATGAAGGTAAATCATGCCCTCCCTCACTAGAAACATAACCAGGTCTAGACGGAGTTGCAGCAAGTCCTTGCAGAAAACAAAAATGTATCTCAGAGTCCATTCTTTATATGAGAGAAACAGTTGAAAATCAAAGTAAACACTGATGACTAAGTAAATGTTGCAATGTGGGGGAAAGATGAATAGAAATACCGCCATGAGTTATATTCCGATAATATGATATGATGTGATAAAACTAAACTAAAACACCTGCTTATATTTAATATTCTATTAAGACAAGTCTAGTTCAAGTTCAACTAGTATTGTACTCTTCCTAACAAGATATAACTCCTAATAATAAAGAAAACACTGAAGTTTTACTACTTAAACTTTTAAATTTTCAAGATAATATATGCTTTAATTTTCATTTAATAGATCAAGTATTCTGATTACTTACTATATACTTAACATGTTAACAAAACCCAAAAATAATTCTAAAAAGATGCAATGTGTACTAAATGGTACAGTAAACATCAAATATTGTCGTCGTTCTTTTATCAAGTTGCCAACCTGTTGCATTATTTATCTTTGTTCTTCCATTACTTCGCTCCATTCCAGAGGACAGTGAGACATTAGCATTCACCAACTGTTCAATGGAATGATCTTGCTTATTGACTCTTGATACTTCATCAGGAATGGATGCACCAATACGAATTTTACCCTGCAGAGTACTACTTCCCAAAATTTCAGTCTTAGGGCCAGAACGGTATGATTCGAGACAATCACCCTCTTTAACCCCACCAACCCCAATTGCTTGCCATTCTTTGCAGGAATTTGATTGTTCAAACGGAACACTTGCATCCCCATTTCTACTAGTGTTTAAATTCTTAGGATTCATTATGGTAGCACCAACACCAGGACTACTATGACCCTTGGCAATACTTGTTGTGCCAGTTTTGGCAGAATCATTCTTAGCCTTGACAGCATCTTCTGTGTCTTCAGGAACGCGCAGTCGAGAAGGAACACCAAGTATAGGTTCTAAAAATGTTGTCCAAATCTTCATGACTTTCTCCAATTGTTCAGTTGTACAAACTTCTCCACATGAATATTTTATGAGTTGATACAAATCTTCATGAATCTCTGGATCAGGATACTCAAATTCCAAGTTAGGAAGAATAGGCCGTCTATTTCCAGCAGCAATGGCAAGAAGAACATCATCTTCTTTTCGTTTCTTCTCGCTAATTTCTTTGATCTCTCCCAATAAGGCTGTAATCCACAGTTAAAGAAAGGAGTTAGGAGTCAGAAGAATAAAAAAAATGTTTACACCGTGATCACCACATATATGCAAGTCCAAGTTCCATAGTGCTCAAATAACTAACATAACACTTATTTGCAATGTATATGCACAATGGCTCTAGAAATCAAGTGTTTTAAATCAATATAATCGTAGATACATTCCATTATACAAATTGTGTGCATATAAATTCCTTTCAAAGGAAAAAACCCGGGGAAGGGTGAGCATACTTGAGAAAAATGAACTAAATTGGAAGGAAATAAACACTGGAATAAAGATGATATCCGGCATTGCTAATGTTCTGGTCCAATGCACCCTTCAACAAATCAAGCCCAAGGAATTTCATGAATAAGGCACGTGTTAAATATAAGGGAATCCTCCACTTCACACTGCAACCCATGCCACAATATGTGCAAATCAGTTAACTTGATTAACTGAATCTCCCACCTAGCACAACTATCTTATCAATCGCGGATTGCAGAACATAGCGGTTAGTGTAGTTTGTTCAAATTACATTACCTAACAATGTTATGCCATAGCTGTTATTTGACAACATTTTGTACTATATGGCATATTGGAGAACAATAGTGATTTGTTAAAGCTGTTATTTGACAATATTTTGTACTACATGGCATATTGGAGAACAATAGTGATTTGTCCAAATTCTACTATATTATGGTGCTTATAGTGCCGTAATTTAACAACATTGAAACAGATTAACCAAATAATGATTTTCCCTCACAATGGATCATTGCTAACTTGAGTGTTGAATCTCCCCAGGTTCCAAACACCGTTGCTCCACCACACCATATTCTTATTCCTCTACATTTCTTCTGGATTCATAGGTTGTTCTTCTTCTTCGGCTCTAACAAGTTGTAGGGACGATGGCCCTAGCCACGCACGAGGGTTGCAAGACCATTTCGCCTTGAATGAGGATTTACTACTTTAGTACAATAAAAAGTCACATTGTTTAGGAGTCAAGACTAAGGTAAATTTATAAACACCGAACCTCCCACCAATTCGCCTTTTAATAATGGACAAAATCATCAAGACTTAGACAAGGTCTAAATCGGACAATATCACAGAAAAAAACTATGCAAAGGCATATATCCATGTGGAAATAAGGGAAGCCAACAGGTGAACCTAATACCCTCTCAGCAATAACACAATACTCAACTTCTGCGTGAGGACCTCAATCTCATAGAAGAAGAAAGAGAAATGGATGTTATGACTTATGAGTGATGTCGTCATCAGACAAGGAACTTTGACACCCTATAACCGATGAGTAGTACCCTCAAGTTTTTAGAAGGGGACCTCAGCAGACATGGGCAGTAAAAACGACCACCAAGGTAAACTAGCCCATAACTTGGAAGGTCCTTATTGAGTGACCGCCAAGACACATTTAGAAACCCACACTATTGAGACCCTTCAAGACGAACTCATTCCAAGGCCGTGGTATGGACACAAGTTAAAAGAGCATTACAAGCACCATGGTTAGTAAGATTGTGATGTCAATCGTGGGATTGCACGAGCCTACAAACCAAAAACTCCTAAGCAAGCTACAATGCTTACAAGATTATAAGGGTGAGGATAGCGGGAGAATCACAAAGACCGTCTCAAACTCATGAGTCGGGTTTTGGAGAAAAACCTAGGTTTCTCTTGCGCGTAACATCTCAGAGATTGACGCCTTTTCCTACATTTGCTTGCCACAGGACATTGTTCAAACATTGTGGTCAGCTTAAGTTAAGGGCGGGACGCAAGCCCGGTTTCAATAACCCATCTGCGGGCATGCATAACAGTCTTGAAGAATTTGGCATACAAGGAGGCAACAATATTAATGACCCTTGTGACCGTTAGGCTCAAACAAGGAACATCAACTAATGGCTGCTATGGCCGTTACTCTTAGATGGAGTGACAGTAGCATTAACCAGCAGAGAAAAAGGGGTAGAACAATAAAGAATACTAAAACCGAGGCTTTGTTGGCTTCAGCGAGGCTGCGGCTTTGTTGGCTATGCAATCAGCAAGGCAACAAACGTGTACATTTATCCAGTACAATAGTAGAGTGACTTGATCCTTTTTATTTTGACGCATGTCTCCTAATTCTAAAACTTATCATGCATCCTTAACTTTTTATTCATTTTCTTTTCCAACTAATTTTAAATGTTCTAGTTTTATATGGTAATATTGGTTTGGGTTAAGTTCATAACTAACTATATTTAACTAATTAAGCATTATTTACTCCCTAGCTAATTTTAACATTCTTAACTATGTTAAATTAATTACATTCACCATTAAATATTTTCTTAATTTAGCTAATGAATTTTAAATAATTTTTTTAACTTATTGGTCTTACTTCATTCAATTTAGTTATCATAATGCATGTGTAATTTTTTATTTTGGTGAGATCTTACAATCCTAAGCTTTATAATCTTGCAAGTAACTGTTTAGGTAGGATTTTACAATACTTATTACAATCTTATGGTTTGCTATCTTGCTACTCCCTCTCAATCCTAGGCAAGATCTCAATCTTGACAACATTGGAATGCGGTCCAACAGCCCAAACAAAGAACTAAAAGATCATCCTTCAGCAAAGGAAATTCACGAATAAGGCATGTGCTGAATATAACTGAATCCCATCCTTCGTGTCGCAATCCACACTGCCATATGTGCAATCAGTTACATGGTTAACTGAATGTCCCGCCAAACACAACTAGAGCAAACTACTACATAAGGAAGTTAAAAGCTAAGATAACAGGTACACACTCATTCTACAATTTCCCTCATAATGGATCATTGCTAACTTGTGCGATGGAGTCTGTGTGTTTCAACCACCCCCAATCCACCACACCAGATTCTCATTCCTCAACATTATGTCGAAGTCGTCTTCTCCTCTAGCTCCACCAAGTTCATTGTGGCGTAAGTAAGCTTTTGGTGGCAGAAGAAAAAACTCCAATTTATTTAAATTGTTAAAAAGAATCAAGAATTTCGTGTTATTGGACAAAACTAATATTTTACCTTTAGTGCTCAAGCTTTTTGCATCCTGCTGCTTAAAGTAAAAGCTTCGATGATCAAGTGATTTGTGATAATTTTTCGAATATATTTCAGCCCAAACTTTATTAAAATCTGCGCGGCATCTTGCCCACTCCTCCTGTTTCTGCTTCAAGCGGGTTAATATCACTGGCAAAGCAAGAGATGCATTCTTTTTCAATACATCCATCACATCAAGCCCGTGGTCACCATATAATCGTTCAATGCACCTAAGATTTAGGGCTAAAAGAACACCAAGAAGATTATATCAGAATACAAAATATCAGAAAATTACATCATATTGCATTGATCAATTGAAAAGCACATAACCTGTTAAGTGCTCCTCAATACGAATTGGGATGTCTCCTGGAATTATATTAGCATTAACTTTTTCTAAGATCTCTTCAACTCTCTTATTTGTCACATTAACAGACTCTAGCAACATATCAAGTTCAAACCTGCAAGCATAGAATAAAATAATATCAGAAAAGTAATAGTGATTAATTACGTAAATAACACCTCTCAAATCAACCATGTGATATCAAAACTAACCAAACACATAGCAACTATGACTACAACCAACCGATACAGATTAAATCAAACAAATCAGTATTTTTAAGAGTAAATTAAAATCCACAGTAAGCACCTGTCGTCTTCGCATCTAAACAAACTCTCTTCATACTGATTTTTGCGCATGTGTTTAAAGGAATAATCCTCACTTCCTGATGTAACAGAAACCCAGTGATCGTTCAATACTTCATCACCTAGTTCAGTTCTCTGGCTAGCTATCGGTATTGGGTACTGCGTAAACAAAGATATTATACATATATAACACAATCAGCAATGAAATCTCAGATTTCATAGGAACAGGCTAAAAATGAAGAGACAGGCAAAGAACCAATACATTTTTTGGTAGAAGACGGTAACTAGGAGTACATTGTTCACAGTTAGAAAGGTCCAGTTCATTTATAGGTTTTCCTACATACTTGTCCTTGCTCAAAGACACCTTAGGAATAGAAACATCCTTATTGGCAATTCCAGTGGATTTGTCTCTTTCTCGGAGTTCACGGTCCCTTTCTTTCACCCCATCATCCCTGTCACGATCTCTGTCTTTGTCCTCTACCTTCATTGGTTTCTGTCCATGTCCTTCATTCCACAAGGATTCTAATGAACAAATAACATCAGATTCATTGGACCAGAAGATAAAGCTGCCAATGTTCATGTGAGCCCATGCTAGAAAAAATAAAAATAAAGGGAAGGAAAGGGGGTGCATCTATAGAAGATGACAGAAAAGAGAAAATCATATAACTTACTTTTATTCATGACACCAGCAAGGAATCCTTCTACATGAAAGCACTTGATTAGAAATACTAATAAAAAAGGAAAAGAAAACTAAATTTAGTAGAAAGGGAAAACTAGCTTGAACATTACCATTTTGTTCACATTGTGTCACAAACTCATCAAATCCCTCCATAATATCGGCATATTTTCCCAGTAAATCACCCACCTAAGAGAATAAGCCAACCAAATATCAGCAATTACATACTATGCTTCAACAGAACAAATTTCAAAATGTGAAATGAATGAAAGTTAACATCAGATCAATCTGATTCTAAACTGAATAGAGTGAACCTTAGCTATGTTCAACAAAGAAATAACTTATATCACAATATCATTCAACATTTTCTACACCACTTTCACTAAGAAATAACAAAATCCATTGTTTAATCTTTTGACCTTTACCCTAATATAACTGTTGCAGTTGGCTCCTCTCACAGTACCCTTTCGTGCCAAAAAATGACAGCTGTGTGCAGGAATTTTCTCAATATGCCCACAATAAATTCTTCATTTCCGTATTTCACCATACAAATATTTTATCGAAGGTTAATGGGCAGCGCAGACCAAACTAAATTAAAAAGTACTCATTATACCCAAAAATGTAACTTCTAAAAATTTGAATGTATAAACCATACCAATGCTAGTAGTTCTTGTCGGGTGATTATTTCCCTGCTGTAGATATGTAGGCACTTCAAAAATTCCTGGTAATCCTCAGGACCTCTTAATTTCTCCTTGACTTTTTCAAGGAAAGCAAGCACTGGACTACACATACCTGAGATGACAGATTTTTAAGGTTAAAAAATGAATCATAAAGGAAACAAAGAGTTAAATTTACTATCCAACAATTGTTACAATACAAAAACAAATTGGAAAATGGTTTTTCTTCTTACAAATAAAACATGGAGAGAAAAACTTTGTACTTTATATGGCCTAATAGCTACCATTTCTCAGTAGTTCTAGATAACTCAATCAATAACAAAGATCATAATTTCTCTAGTTTATACCATTATAACTGGCAAAAGTGAATATAAATATTTGCATTAGAAATATTTTTTTCACCGAGTTATTATTGGTTATCTACATTTTATATGTTCCATTCATTTCTTTGTAGGCGAACATGATATGAGATTGAAGTATGTGTTTCTGCTATTAAAATACTGTGCACTGTAACTTAAATAATATTGAAGTTACGGACATACTTTTCAAAGAACTTTTATCCTCAGAAGCGGACGAGATAGGGCGCATGTCAAGCTTTTCATCTGCATCATGCAATAGTTCAGTACCAGGGTCTATAGCTCTATGACCAGATTTTCGCTTGTGGGATAAGCGCTCACGATTACCGTCATTATCATAATCTCTATCATCCCTATCCCGTTCTCTCCTGTCTCTCTCTTCTCTACGGTCCTTTTCTCTCTCGCGTCTTCTATGCTCCTTATCAGCCCTCATCACACCTCTGTCCAGTTCTGGATCAGGATGATCGATGCTGAGATCACGATCAGCATGCAAAGCTGTTGTCTTTTCTCTCTGGCATTGAGAAAAGCAATTAATTAGCTTAGCTTAATGGTCAACTATAAAAAAACAAGGTTATAAGAACTAGGAGAGAGAAATATACCTTGTCAACATGCAATTGCCTTGCTGTTGCCATTGCAGAGCTCCTATCACGGAGAGAATTACGAGCAGAGGCAAAATGAGCAGAGACTGCTCCAGAGGTATCAGGAAGAAAATGAGTAAACTCCTCGAGAAGATCTGCATGGTCTTGGAAGAGAGCAGAAACCTGGAGAATTACAATATATAATTAAAATGTTTGTGTAAAGAATCATAACACCTATCAAAGGGGAGAAAATAGGTAAACCAAAATTTAAAAAAATAAAATAAAATAAAAAATAGAACGTGATAACATAGGCAACGATAGAACATACCTCTTGGTAAACCACGGTGATAGACTTGGTTTCCTTTCTGTACATATTTAGTATGTCTAAAAAAGTCTTGTAAACACGGTCATTGCCTTGAAAACGAGTCTGTATATAAAATAAAAATAAAAAAACCAATCAGAATCGAAAGTTCAATTAACCAAGATGGAACACTAGATTGTCGAGGCAATGTCACTGCCAACATCTTCATAGACCTGCATTTAAATCAGCCAGCATTCCAGTGGTCCATGTCACTGGGGCAAACTTTTGAGTGTGCAAGTATGAGTTGGAACTTGGAAGACAAAAATGCATCATACTCAATATTGTTTTTACCTTAATCTTGCCCACAAAATTTATAGCTTCTTCAAATTCAACAGGCTTCTTCTGTGGAGGTTGTTCATCTTCCAATGGAAGTGTGATTGCATATCCCTTTGGCAAGAAGGTGTTAAATCCCAAAATTAAATCTTTATGCCCTTTAAAAAGCTCCTTCACTCTTTCTATGACACCAGCTGTATCAATTCTAACCAAAACAACAAACATGAACCAATCAATTCCTACTAAGAAAATGAAAATCCGCATCCCCAAGAAAGGGGGAAAATAACGAGAATGAAGTACAACATGAACAAACCTTTGGGCCTTGAAATCCTTCATGACTTCCAAAAACTCATCATACTTCTCCTTATCATCTTGAAACATTTCTCTTACTGCCTTTAGATACGATAAAGCATCATTTGTAGTTAACTTCTGACCACCACTCATCACTTGGGGTTGCCCCGAGCTACATTCCACAAATTTTCAGAAACTATTAAAGTACATTGAACAAACAAAAAACAAAGTACTTCACAAACGCTTTTCTCAATATAGTAAAGGTCTACAAACATAGATAAACCGAATGTACAAAACTGTAAACAAATGTACTTCTAGGTTTCAGTTACATTAAAGAACTTAGAAGTGAAATAAACTCTTGAAAATAGAAATTACAGATAAACTAAACCACCCAACAAAGAAACATCTGATCTTATTTCACCAAGTCAAACATCAAAGAAAACATCCGAACCTTCAAACAACCGAGAAATACAAAACAACAGCTATCATAGTATAAAAAAACATACAAAAAACAATCTACGAAACAAGAAACTAAAGACAAAAAAAAAAAAAAAAACAGAACTTACGGTTCTCCTCTAGAAGACAGCATGGGGCGTTTGAGTTGTGAACTCATGTAAACATCATCTTTGGACCTCTTCATCTCTCTATCAAGAACAAACAACAAACAACACAACACCATAAATCATGCATTCAAATTTGAAACTCAAAATCCTAGAAAACCCAAGTTAGAACAATAGAACAAAAAAGCAACAAACAGAAAACAAAACAGATCTAACCGAATGAAATTCACAAAGACATCAACCACCAGCAACAATTCCAACGGCAGATTGCAACACAGATCAACCAAAAAATCAAAATCCTGAAAAAAAATAATCCAAAAAATCCAAAAAAAAATCATAAATCAAAAATCAGCTTTTTCTTCAATGTAAAGCAAACGTGATAACAATTCCCAACCCTTGAGAAACGATTCAAACGCAAAACATTGATTGTGAAGTGCATAAACACTTCAGAACCCTATATAACAAGTTTTATATTCTTCAATAAATAAGAAACTGAACCAAATAAAATAATTAAAAAAGAAATTGAAGCTTCGAGTAACTCACAACAATCTCAGAATCTGAGACGCAATGAAGTTTAGCAGCGAAGTGTGTTACTGAGAAACTCAGAAAACGGAAGCTGTTGTTTTGCACGGTGAGGAGGAAGAAGAAGCGAAAAAAAGAATGCAAATTTGTGCGAAGGGTGAAGAGAAGAAGAGAAAGAGAGTTCACAATGCGATTTATATGCGTGTTTATATATTTGTGCCAAAATATATAATAACACAAAACACCTAAAATTATAATTTTTTTTATTTTTTAAACAAAATAAATAGATTTTTTTTTCAATATGATGAGATAAATGAAGTTAAATTTAAAGAAATTACTGTTATCTTCTTTATTATAATTTTTAAATGAAATATTTTATTTTTGATAAATTTTTATATGAAATAAGAGAGAAAACTCAACCGATATATATTAGTTAAATTAAATAAATTTAAGTTATTGGACAATAATATTTACTTATTAATAAAAATTATTTTATTTATTTGATAGGATTTCATGTTATATTATAAATCTTATATCCTTAAATTTTGGATATGGTTGAAGTGTAGAGCAAAATATAATTTGAAGTAAGATTCACTTTTAATGTTTATTTTGTATTAATTAAATAATAACTAGGTGTAAACAATTAACAATGTTCTTTGCCAATGGTAATTAGTGGCGTGGCCCACAAGAGAAATTATGTGGCTTGCTTGCTTGTTACAAATTAGGGGCTGGCTTTATGGATTTAGGGTTTACTCCAAGGTGTGATACCATTGTGAATAGATAGATGTTTCTTTTGACATAATCTAATCTTTTTTTAAGGCAATGTAGCCTTTAATAGTTGTTGTTGTTGTAAATTAGAGTGTAAATAAGTTGAGTTATATTATATTAAATTTTTATATATTTTATTTTACTTTTTATAAAAGAACTTTTAATTTATAGTGTTTACAATATTTTATGTAAATAATTTTAGTTTAAGTTAACTTATATGTATCTCATAAGTCTTAGAAATAAAATGTAACTACTCTTTTTAATTTGGTTTAGTATTTGATAATTAGTACTACTAGCTTTTAGGGAATGGATAGGGGCAATACTTTTTAATCATAATAAGGTAATATTAAGTGTTTTTATTGTTAAATTTTACGTGTTTTGTGAATGCGGGTGATTTAGAAGGTTAAGTGATTTCAAATGTCGTAGCATCAAATATATGATGGTTAAATATTTGAAAAATTATAGGCAGTAATATTAATAAGTAGGTGCTTAAAGAACATATTATTGAGATAAATGTTTAAGGAATTTTTTAATGCATTTTATGCGATATATTACTTGAAAATACAATAATGTTTATAGATTTTGGATATATATCTTGAATGTATTTAAAAGAAAATTTTATTTCGTACCCTTATTTTTATATTTGTATCTTTACAAAAAAATGTCAAATTTATCTTTAATTGATTTTAACTTTTTTACTATTTCATTTTTTATTATTCATCAAAAAATCTGAAAATTTCACTCCAACGGCTCTGTTTCGGAAGACATCAAGAAAGTCTTCTGGTACGTATTGATACAAATCGGAACAGTAGAACAAAGTGTTTCGGTATTTTGAAAAAAAAACATTCTGGAAGAGTTTGTCCAAGTGTTACGGTTTTGAATTGAAAATTTATATGAACTGGAACACTTCTGAAAAGTGTTTCGGTGCGAAGAAGTGTAAACCGAAACACTTCTGAAAAGTCTTCTAATGCGAACAAGTGTAAACCATAACACTTTTCCAAAGTGTTCCGGTGTGTCCTAAAATCTAAACCAGAACACTTTCCATAAGTCATTCGGTGCGCATTTTTAATTATTTTTTTTATTTTTCAGGTATGGAAATTCCGCACCAAATTTGCCAAAAAAAATGAGCTATTTGTAGATACCATTGATGTATTCTCCACTAATCAAACATTCGTTACACGAGAAGAGGTTATAAGCTGAATTAAAGAGGTTGGAATCAAAAATACGGTAACTGTTATTATCAAGCGTTCAGACACCGAAACAGGCAAGAGAGAAAGAAGTAACAAAATAATATTTGGGTGTGATAAATGGGGTAAATACAAGGATAAAAGTGAAACTCAAAGTGCGACCAAGAGATGTGGATGTCCATTCAAAATCAGCTCGACTCCGTCAAAAGATAGATTTGGATGGAAGGTTGGTGTAAAATATGGAGTTCATAATCATGGATTACCTGATAGGCTTGAAGGTCATGTGTTTGTTAGTAGGTTATTTATAGATGATAAGAAATAGGTTTTTGATTTGACAAAGAGACATGTTCCACCTAGACACATATTGCTTTCCTTGCAAGAGCGAGAACCTGAGAATGTGACTCATATCACGCAAATATATAAGCAGAATATTGTGATAGAAAAAGAGATAAGAGGGTCAAGAACTGAGATACAACATTTGATTAAGCTCATAGAGGATGCAGACTATGTCTATTGGAGTAGAAAAAGAGATAACTCATAAGTTGTGAGAGATATTTTTTGGGCGCATCTAGATTCAGTTAAGTTGCTGAATATTTTTCCTATTGTATTAGTTATGGGTAGCACTTATAAGACAAATAAATATAGACAGCCTTTGTTTGAAATTGTTGGCATGACATCGACCAAGTTGACATTTGTTGTTGCATTTGGTTATATGGAGTCTGAGCAGACAAATAGTTTTTGTTGGGTCTTGGAGAAGCTGAAGGAATTATTTGTGAAGAAAGATTTGTGTCCACAGATGATTTTGACACACAAAGATCTTGCTTTAATGAAAGCAGTTGAAGTTGTGTTTCCTACGACAATTAATTTGCTATGTCGATTTCACATTTAAAAATGTTGGAATGAGATACAAGAAATATGTTGTGAAAGAAATGTAAGAAACGATAGACACGTTATGGACGAATCCTGTATGGGCTAGTGATAAGGTTAAGTATAGTCAACGATTGCACCAACTTGAGTAGGTGTGTGTTAATTGTAGTGAATTTATTGATTATGTGAGAGACGCGTGGTTGACTCCATATAGGCGTAGATTTGTTAGAGCATGGATTAATCGAGTGCTTCATTTAGGTAACACCACGACTAATCGGTATGTCATTTTAGGTTTTTAACTATGTTATATTTTTATTATGCATTGATTTTTTTAGAATGTTTATTTTTTAGTTTTTTTTACTATGTTATATTTTAATTATGCATTGGTTTTTAGGGTTGAGTCAGCACATTGGAAATTAAAGTTGATGTTGGGAAATAGTCTTTGTGACATGGCCAAATGTTGGGAAGCTATGAACAATAACCTGAGGTTACAAATAGGCAACATTCATGCTTCGTTTCAAAAAAAAATATGAAGTTGAGCATGCACACGTAAGTCAATTTTATGGTAATTTGTGTGGTTCTGTATCTAGAGTTGCTTTGAGGCGTATTACTGAAGAGTTATAGAGGGTTGATTATGTTGGAACTATCAAACAAAAATATGGTTGTACTCATATAACAAGTTATGGGTTACCTTGTGCTTGTGAGTTAGGGAGATACGTTATTGGTGGTATACTGATACCAATAGAAAGTGTTCATGTTCATTGGAGAAAGCTAAGTATGGAAGTTGAGTTGCAGGCAAATGTAAAAGATGGATCGGAGGTTGACACGAGTAGTGTAATGGAAGAATTGTGGAGAAGGTTTAGATCACTAGATGTTGTTTGTAAAAGAGCATTAAAAACCAAGGTAGGAGTTAAGAAGAAATGGAAGAAACTGGTTGGGTATGATGTTTATAGGGACCCTTCATGGCATGAGTATGCTGAACAAGCATCTCAATCTTCATAAAGGCCATCTCAACCATCATAGAAGCAATCTCAGCCATCAAAGAAGCAGTCACAATAAAAGAAACAGTCACAATCAAAGAAACCATACACTCATCAGTTTCCAATTCATATTAGGCCATATATTCAATATATATTCAAGAGATTGTAGATGTTGAACCGGATGTAATTGTGGATTTATAGTCATTGTATCATTATAGGGGTATAGTTATGATGGTTGGCCAATGGTCCGTCAAGAGTTGGACATGGAAATAAGAGAGAATAAGAGTTTGTATGGGAAATCATTCAGAGATTGGCTATAATAAGTGAGATCAGGATTGATGATAAAGTTCGTTGGTCGACAGCCAAAAGAGAAATGCCTAACACTTCCTGACATGGGTTATATGATAACGAATCGCTGTAATGTCATTCTTGTGCATTTAGGCAACATGTGCTTGACCATTTTTCCTATGACAACTTCATCTTCACTTACTCTAAGTATTTGATGCAATGGTTTAGTCAACAATGACCATTGGGTTCAGGTAATCAATTTACTTTACTTTATTTTACTTTATTTATTTAATATATGACATTACTTGATTTTAATTTATTTTTAATAATTAGGTAAACATGAGAGACAAGTTCCCCTTACCCCCGGTTCTTACAAATTGGAAGAAGTTTCGTGCACCGGATGCAATTTCTTGGATGTTAGGATTTGTGGGACGTCTGCAACTTTGGCTACAACTTTCGCCTGTATTA